GAGGTGACCTCTTGATTAACATTATCATTCTCCCAGTTTTGAAAGTAAGTGCAGTGTGTTATCTTGTATAGCCTACTACACCAGACCTATGAACTTCTCAGGCCATTAAAGATTACATAATCTACTACGAACAAACCATATGCTCAGCATTATTGCGCTAAAAGATCAATTGAAAAGCCATTAAATCATCATGCTCAGTAATTTGTTGTTTTTTCCCCTTCTTCTACCTTCTGTAAACAAGATTGTTGTAAGATGCATTCAGAATTGTTTCCAAAACATTGTAACAAAGTGTATTTCTGATTAACGCTAATCTTTCCTTCTTTTTTGGCAAACAGAAAACCGTGCAATGGCAGACCTACATGTGTTTGATGTTGAAGAGACCTTAAACATTAAGAAAATTGTATTGTGTTGTAAGGCACAGAGATTGTAGGTTTTATTTCATGACCCTTTCTGTTGTGCAACTGTAGGTGCAATTTAAGGTTTGCCTGAGAGGTGTTTATATTAGACATCTATAAAACTTTGGCTCTAATCATGTCTTTTAAGCATTTTAATCCTTGTGTAATTTTATATCAACAAAACAATGATTGGCAAATTTTCTTTCACACTATACATAAAATATGAACATTTGTTATGGGAAGGAAGCACATGGAGGGTGGTGTGGTGGCATTAACCATTGCTACCTCAAAGCAATGGGGCCCTGGGTTCATATCCTGGGGTGTTCTTTTCGTGGTTTGTATAGGGTCCCCTGAGGTGCTCTGGTTTCCTCCCACAGTCCAAAGCCATATTGGTAGGTTAATTGGCTTCTGGGAAAATTGGTCCTGGTATGAGTGTGTGCGTGTTGGTATATGTGTGTGCCCTTTGATGGACTGGTGTCCTCTCCATGGAAATCTTTTGACTAATAAAAAGGAGGCTATCGATTTTGAAATAACATACTGCCATACTTACAAATGAATAACCCTACAAGAGATAGGGGACTTTACCGGTATGTCAGATGTACTGAGAGAAAATGGTGGATTTCCAAGTAGTAGGGAAATAATAAAGCTCTGTACCAGGATCCCAGTCCTGTTGTCGATCTTATCTGGGCATCCATACTGGTAAAAAATAATGCTGTAGTATAAAGCCGGCATTTTAAATCTTGCGAGATATGCCACCTTAGTTATGTTTGCCAAATACGTCAACTAAACAGGTTTGTTTATTTGAATAAATAGGGTTCAATTATAACTACTGTTGTGCTTAGTGAAAAGATCTTACAGCTTACACTCACAGTATGTTACAGACTCCATTTATTGTAAAGAAGTGCTGTTCTGTGAACAATGAAAAGAAAGACACATTTCATTACCCCTTAATTTATATACATAAAATAGCTGCCTCTTACAGTAACTATGTACATTTTGTAAGCTGTATTGTCATGTTAAACCCCTTTTTCCTTTGTTAATTTTGTTACTGGTGATTTTTTTTTGAAGAGGTGACTTACAATAAAATAATGTATTCGAATCATTCAAGTTTTATGTGTTTATTGTTTCTCCCTCTCCCTAATGTCATGCTTGGATCACTGCTAACAGTACTGGTGCACTGGCCCTTGGGTGTTCCCTATGCAAATGCAGGGTAGGCTCAGCTCTGCTTAGCTTCTCCAGTGTGACAATATCTGACTGGTCTGGCTGCTCAGAAAGGGGGCGAGATAAAATCTGAAGAATGCAGCATGCAATGCAGGTCTTCAGCAGAGGTTCCTGTTCACAGCAGCTTGCAGGAAAATGAAGACTCACATCCTCTTGCTTTGGAAGTAGGATAATAGTGATCAGAATACTTAGCAGCTTGGTATCGGTTATAGGTTGTGGTATCAGTTTTTCTCTCAATATCCCACATCTGTCTGGGGAAGTATTTACATTGACTGCAGGGTTTTACTAGATAGCCATGCTCTCAGAGAGTTTTCATGAAAAAAAGGCTTTTGTTGTGGAAAAACAGGAAAATATGACTTATTGTGGTTTAAGACACTCATTCTGATGGTTCCTTAGAGAGGGTTTAGGTTACATTTCCTAGAAACCTATGCTGCCACCAAAAATGTTTCTAAGGGAGATTAACCCTTAAAAAATGAAATATAATTAGCACATTTTCTCAGCTTATCTAAAATTAAAGTTGATTTTTTTAAAAAAAATAATCTAATGTAGTTTTAAAAAATAAAAATGTTTTGGCTGTAAGATTTTGCATTATGTACTTGGAGGTTGAAAACCATCTGACTCTCAAACCAAAGATTCAGCTGCAAATGACCAGCAAAAATCTTGTGCTCTCTTCAAGGCCTAAATACAGACTTCTGACAACTTGTGATTAGCATTGCAAACCTAGTTAGTCTAATGAGCAAGTTTCTCAAGTTGCTTGGCCTTCATTTCTCCATTTAGGGAGAGATATAATGGACAGTTCTTCTGCAGCCATAACATTTCAACAGCCATCCTGTTCTATTCTTTATTCTAACGTTATATATATCGTTACACTAAGATAGAATCAAAGAGTTTTAAACAACCTAGTGGGATCCTAGGACTTCTCTGAATGTTTCTGGAATGGGGGAGCATACATGCATGAAGCTTCCTACATACGTATCTTAAAGTAAATCTGAACTGGTTTATTCTTTATCTACTATATAGGGAAACACTCTTATAGAGGTTAAGATCACAATTCTGGTGCTGAATCTGCTGAGCTGAAGAATTCTAGAGGTCTGGTCTACAGTCGGTGAAGGGGAGCTTTTGGGTCTAACTGAAGCAGACATCTGAGTGGGGGCCGTTTTCTTCACTCGGAGTGTGAAAGGCTCAGGAGCAGTGTAGTGTGACAGCATAACAACGCCTTTACCATTTTGTATTGTGCTTTGACGCATCAGGGCGGCTCAGCGCAGCAGGGAGGCAGTTTTTTGCCTTTGCCGCACTACTGTTGCTGCCCATATGTCGTAACAGCTGACATTAGCAAAGAGGAACTTTCCCCTCCTACTCCATGGGGTTTGGCGCGTTAACCCCATAAAGTCCTGCCTGTATTGCAGCATCCGGCGGCCCAGTTAAATCAGATGCCTCAGATGTTTGTAGAATGAAAGCACGTAATGCCAAAAACTGGAGCGTGGTTAAAAACTAACCTGTTTGATTAAACAAAAACACAGGTCATGACCAATTTTATAGTCTGTCACAATATCAATCCATAAACGTTTCATTTTGCCATAACAGTTGGTGGGTGTGTTGCTTTTGCATCGTTCAGAACAAGTGTTTTTCTGTAACAGTACCAGTGTAATGTTAGAGTACATATTAGCCAATATATTTTAATGTTTTTTTTTTAACTTGTGAGACACGATGTCGTCCATTTTGTGGTACTTGTCATTTTCTCGATAGCGTGGCAGAGCAAAGTCCTCAGCTCAAAAGATGGTGGGGCTTTCACTGGAGTATTATTACAGAATGCATCTTGGGGTGGGTTTATCTGACTAATTCATTTACCAAGCCTCCAGTATATCGACAGAGTTCTGTTCTGGGCAGTAGAACCTATGGATAACAGACTTTTAATAATGTACTGATTTTTTCCTTCTGAACAGGTCCAATGTCATTGTGACCAGGAAGATGTGTGTTTAGAATGCTGTGTAGGTTTTTGCCAGCATCTTCTGCCAAGGGTTAGATCAGCTGTGATTACGTTTCCTAGTTATATGGCCTAATTTTATAGCACTAAAAGCAATAAAAGGTGGAATGCACTAGTTGGAGTGAAAGGCCATTTAATGTCTTTATTCCACCTTATTGTCTTACTTTATGACCATCTTATTTCTTGATGTAGACGTTGGCTTCCTGTTCTAGTCAAAAGCATACAAGGGTTTTATTTTCTGAATCAAAGGTGACTGATTGCCGTTTGATTGCAGCTTTCCCACTGGGATCAAGCTCTTAAAGCATAGCCTAAATCTAGGCTATATTAGTCATTTACTTATCTTGCACTCTTGCTGCTTTTATGTTAATCCTCTTCTGGATTTTGTAAAATGTTATTAACAAAGCCATGGTGCTTTACTTTTACAGTAAAACAAATTCCAAAGGTTTCTCAGGGATTGAAGCATGATTTATTTCTTCTTATTCATGATACTAACACATGAGCAAATCCATATTTTTGGGAGTTCTATTTTATATTGTGACAGTGTTAATAGAGAACATCAGAAAAGAATGCAGTCTGAATGAGAGAATGTGCTGGGATATATTTATGTGTTCCACAGCTTTCAGGTTGAGCCTTTTATTCTCCATGTAGTCTAAGTAGAATAAAAGCTCTGCCAACTGGGTTTTCAACAAGAATCAATGTGTAATTTATCACAGAAAATATGAAAATCCTGGAAGAAATGGTATAGGAGCAACAAATGAGTATTGGAACCAAAAGCATCTGTTGCATTTTTAATGCAGAGTGATTCATCAATGAATAATTGACTAGTCATAATTTATTGGACTGCACTTCTCTGCCGTAGTCCTCCTGTTTGAGGGAACATGCATTCTGGTGACTCAGACGTTTCATGATGCCATTCTGGCAGAAAGAATATGGGTTGCTGTATGAGCTACAATTGCCCCACCTGCTGGATGTCATGAGCACTGGCAAATGTCAGTCAAAGACTATCTTTTAGGTTCTAAAAGGGGATGTGCCAAGGTACTTTGTCTGGAAACTCATGTGACCGTTGACACATAGAAGCACACTCCATCTCTGGAATGTCTTCCCTGTAGATTGGATCTCATTTCATCTGATTTGGACCCCCAGAAGATGGTGTCCAAAGTAGGTCTGTCACTGATTATAAGATCCAGCACGTGGTGCAACTGTATCTCACGCAGCAGCCTGACAATTATGACTGTCCAAAGCAGTATTAATCTGGTAAACCATTGGAATGCATTTCAAAACAGTGAAATGATGCAGAGTAGTCAATACGATTTATTTTTTCATTTACTTGCTCATTTTAATTTCTGAGTTGTTTTTACTTTCTAAAATACCAGTCTATAGAGTTTCTGTTTTCTTTCTAGGGAAAGCCAGACTTAAACACCGCACTTCCTATAAGACAGACGGCCTCCATTTTCAAACAGCCGGTGACCAAAGTCGTGAATCACCCAAGTAACAAAGTGAAGTCAGACCCTCAGAGAGCAACTGAACAACCACGACAGGTAAGACCTGCACATTTCTATTCTAAGATTTTTCTTGCAAATGTCTTCAGAACCTCTCTTATATCTTTTGTCCTTTCAGAGTAAATGAGAGTTCATTTTTAGGGGCCTGCAGAGAACATGATTAGTTTTTTTTGTGGTAGCAGGCTTAGAACAGAGGAAATCATATACACTGTAATACAGGAAGTCTCTTTAATCAATGCCTTTCTTCGCTGGCTAGGCAGCTAGTAATTTTACTATGTATAATAGCTTCATGGATCCTCATTACAATAATATTTTTTATTCCTATGAAGTGAAATGGGATTGCAATGACTCATCCTTTGTCATATTTTGAAATGCTTGTACAGTATGTGGTAGTATATGTTATATTCACAAGTACAAGTTCAATTGAACTCCTCAATCATAATTTAATCATCATTTTACTGTCTCTGTACTGTGACCTTTTAAAATCCTGGCTGAATTTGATTTCAGAGTTTAAACTTCGTGCTAAACTTAATTTGTCAAGAACAGGAACTTACAGTATATCTATAATAAGCCCAAGAATCGCACTTTATGCCGTAAGGAAAAATTATGATTTTCAGAAGAATTGTCAAATTACATATATCGGTGTTGTAACATAATACAAAATTGAATCTAAATGTCTTGATGTCTAGGCATTTTAAGAATCATCTGTCAATAAATAATTCAATAACACTTTGACTATCTCTTGATTTTTGTATCTATCACATGGAAACTATGGACAAGGACACACTTGAACACCAAAGACCATGCTTTGAATCTACCTACTGCTCCTTCTAATAAACAACTAATGGACTAAGGTTTTAGTTTGCATTGCATCTTTGTCTTGAACATATACTTTACATATAGTACTATGCAGACTGTCTACCTCATTCTGTTAGAAAGGTTAATGTAACTTTATGATTTTTTCTCTAGACCATAATAAAGCCCACTGTGCTCTTGACAGCTTGGATATTGAAAGGTTTTAGAGTCCTTAATGAATAATAATGCATCTGTCAAGTAGCCTAAAAATAGCCTAAAAAAGCTGGCAAAATCAATTTGAATGAAAGGGGCACCTTATCCTATTAACTTCGCACACAGCAGAATGCTTATTGCTTTGGGGGCAAGTAGTACTATGTGATGTGTTGCATAATGTGCTCATTACCTAATTGCACCATCATGAATGAAACTTGAAACACTAAATATTTCTTGAGTTTACTTAAGGCAGGTGTTGAAAGAAATCTTCTAACCTACATGTTCAGAGTGCTATTACAGGCTTTTGCCAGCAGAGGCTGCCAAGCTCACACAAATAGTCCTTTGGTGAAACATTTCCTGCTGTTGACCTCAACCTGAAAAAAAGCCAACAGAAGATAACTTTTAATAAGAGGGAACAGTGAGCACTTCTTGGAATCGATTAGCTGCTTTCTGTTTCTGAGTGCTAATTGTATTATAAAGCTGTAATTGGAATCTTGCTGCTGTACGGCCACCCTGTAAAGATAACGAGGCTGGAAAGGTAATTACAATGAGACTACAAATAGTACCTTGTTCTGTGACTGGTAAACTGTTTTTTCTTTCCTTGACTGGTTGAGTGAATAAGCATTAAAGTACAAGTTAATGTTTTTTTTTAAGGACATCTGTGTATTTTGAAACTAATCTTAACGCTGCCTGTCTTGGTTTAATACTTTGTAATATAATAATAATAATAATAAACTTTATTTTATATAGCGCCTTTAAAGGTGGCTTCTCAAAGCGCTTTACAGGATGGCAATAACAATAAATAAGAAGACTACAACAATAAATAAGAAAATTTCACAAGACAGGACACAATTATAATTACAACAATACAACAATAACAATAGAGGAGACCGTGGAAGATGGTATTAAGAAGAGCAGAGGGGTGAAGAATGGAACCAGTTAAGTAAAGGCTTTTCTGAAAAGGAGGGTTTTGTAGTGTTACCCTGTCCTTTGCGCAAGGTAGGGAGTGTCCCAGCACATTGTGTGGAATGAGGTCAGCAGCTGTAGGCTGCATATTTGTGATTTTTGCCTTGCACAGATTTTATATTTTGTAGTCCTGGAAAATGACTGTCATGGTAGGGTTTTGCAGGAGTTAGTTGGATGTAGCCCACGAGTCCTTAAAAAGGGTTTATGTACAGTTGTTGGCAAGACCAGTGTTGTTACTCTTTTTGGGTTTTTGTGTCACAGGGGTGATAAAAAGAAATACTGCTCTCTTTGGACAGATGGGCATTGGCATAGAGAATATGTTGCTCCTAGGAAACTAATTTATAACAGATGTTACACTACCTTTGCAGACAACCAGCTGTGACCATGTAGTTGCTCAAATTGCATTGTATATTTTTACAGACCAGACGGTCTGTTTGCCAGCAGCTGATAAACTGTGATGGCCAGGAATTAAGGCAGTGACTACACCTATGCTGGATGGTGCTTCTTTCACATTTACTGTCTAAGGGCTGTTAATTACTGTTCTCATCGGAGAAGTAGACAGATTTCCAAAACTCAGAAGAAACCAACTTCGTTGCTTTATGTGATTTGCTAGTGACATTGTGTAAGCTAGGTAGTTTGCATTTCAGTGATGCACAAAGAATATTTAATGCTACATTTTATGTTTCACACACATGCAAATGTTCTGCTACATTCGGAGCCATCTATCAAGGCTTAGGTTCCCTAGTTCTTTGGCTTTAGAAAGTGAAGATTCATGACTAGCTGTTTTTTTGGTTTCGTTTGAACCGAATACTGTTACTAGTGCACAAAATGTTTGGTGTCTGTTGAGAATTTCCACTGCCTTTTGCCACCATTCCATTTTCTAACCTGCAGACACTGCCCTTTTTAAAGTCCACTGGTTCTTTCAAACTTCCATTGCCTTGCAAGGTTTTTTACAGTCTGAGACTAAATTGAGTATACTGAAACTTCTGTATTTTTTAAGTTCCGTTTGTTATGTTTTGATTTTCTGTTCAAGGTTTGCTTAGAGGGAAGTAATTTATTTCAAGGGATTAAGGGATTAAGTATTAGGTTAATTGCAGTGAACCTGCAACTGTAGCAAACCTACGAAGCTGATGGTAGGTAGCACAGTCGTAATATCTTTGGATCATCCACACTTGTCTGCTCAATCGTAAAAGAACAAAGTTGGAGATTTATAAATGTATATATCTCATTTATATACTGTATACTGTGCTAGGGATTAAGCATTGTTGTTGTTCTACCGAATAGAAACGGAGTTAATCTGAATCAGAATATTTCGATCATGTGTACCAGTATGCTTATATTTTATTTTGTGTTGCTTAGGAGTTCTTATTTTACAATGTACTCTGAAATGCTAAATCATCGGTTGGTTTTCTTATACACATATATAGTATATTGTTTATATATGTATGCAAATGTTAATGTTTTAATATTTTAGCACACATTTTTAAATTAAAAACTACTTCATAAGGGGGGACATAACAATATGTAATATACCCACGGTAAGACCAATAAGCCTAAACCCTGAAACAGCTGCTGTTGGTTTGAATTTGAACTTTTGGTGTATTACATTGGCTTCGGTCCTCGTTGATAATTGAAGCATACTACTGCTACAAAGGAATACTCTACTGTATTAGCAATGTAGCCATTGTCTATACTCTCATCCCCTTCACTAATGCAGGCAAAGAAATGATCCTGTTCACATCAATAAATATTTTCTTTATTATCATGTCCATAACCTAAGATAGGAACAAGTAATAGAGATGGGAGAAAACACATGTTGGCTGTGAAGCCTTCTTCAAGTACGAGGGCCTATCTTAGATAACCTTAGATAGGCTGGCAGTATGCATGGAATGTGAAAACCACCTTTTGCTTGTATCTTCTGGGGCTTGCATATCAGTCCAATAAGAACCATCAACATCACTGTGGCAAAGTGCAATTCTCCGCAACATATATCAGCTTTTTCAGTACCAAAATTAATTTCTCTTTGCTTTCCTCAATATGTATCTCATTATGTACTTGTATACTATAGGTTAGATGTGCATTTGTGTATGTTAAACTGATTACACCTTTGTAGCATGTGAGATAAGCCCATTGTATTGTATTTGTAATACTTATTTGACATTTACAATATATGCCCCATTGAAGGGTGCTTAAAATAATCACTCAGTGTAAATATTGGTTTGGTAACAAGCTGCTACATTCTGGGACTTTTAGATGTGTTAAAACTATGCATAACTAAGTATGCTATTAATATTCATAGTCTACAGCAAGTGTTACACTTAGTCCTATACTTCAGTATCCTCTACAGGCTATTAGCTGTTGCTCTGAGCTCGTAGCAACTGAGAATGTTTTCAGACTGGATCTGGGGGCTAATTCCAGAAGCTGGGTTCATTACAAATGGTGTTTCCTTAGCAAACGAGTTTAGTGTGGAAGTCTATACTGACCAAAGATCATTCCCTTTTCTCTGCTTTCAAGTTTTTGCAGTTGACCCATTATGATTCATTGTCAGCAATTTGTGATTTGTTGTCAAGTTGAACTGTAGTGGAAGGGTGTCAGCAAAACTGTTCTCTGTCAAGCTTCACAATATTCCTGCTCAGAAATGATTTCACAGTAACCGTTTCTGTAACTCCAAAAGAACTGTATTGCTCCCACTTGACATTAGATTTTATGATACTTTAGTATAGTGGCTGTTTTATAAACACTGTGGGAAATAAGATAGAGCTAGTTTCCAGCACAGAGGTCTTCTTATTGTGATTGTGAAAGCTTACGTTGTACACAGTAGTTTACAAGTTTGACATTCCAGTTGCTAATTTTATGTGGTGTTGTGTGCCAGTAACATACAGTAACATATTTTGGCAAGAGAGGATATTGATGTTTATGAGAAACATCTACCAACCTCCTAATGGAGTTTTTGAACCTTGAATTTGCTTTCTACCATGACCATGGTGTTTACAGTCTGTGGAAGACAAACAAGGACTGCTGTATGTTGGTGATTCTTTGTGTCTGTTTCTTACATTACATTACAT